CGCCCCTTTCAAATCGACAGGAATGTCAAATGACACTCTGTTCAAAGTATTCTCGATCTAAGAGTCGACAGAAATTTTAAAACATTTTAAAAATCGCCGATATCACAATCAGGCCATGTACATTCTCGAAAGCGGCGCCCCAAACATGCCAGCCTAGAGCGCCGTTCGAAGTGTGTTGACGACGTTCCAGTAGCAGTGGAAAAGCGAAAATGTAAGTTTCCAATGCTTTCAAACTTATTGAAAATAGCAATGTTTATGCATTATAGATACAAAAGTTTTAAAATACCTAGTATACTGTCAAATCGCAAACTGAAACATTGCATAAACACGTCACATACATGTACGGAACGTTTTTAGATTTGTGCAGACGACAGCATTCGTATTATCCTTTTTATTGCAACTTTAGCTCGTAGTATATGATAAATTTCGTTTGATATTGTAAATGCAGAATATCTATCCCAAATTTATAGACATACCGTACGAAAATAATAAGATAACATCTCTAATTTTTAGCTGTTTACATTCGATAAGAAACTAGGTCGCTTCCTTCTATGGCGGCTTATTCGGGTTAAAAAATAGAATATTTCTGAAACACCATAAAACATTCAGAGAAATTATTTGATTCGAAACTACAGACTTGGATTCATAAACACAAAGTCAGATAGACAAAATAATGATTTTACATTTTTTGAACAATGAAATTACCAGTAATTATAATTTTTTTTCTAAAATAATTTTTTTCAGGTAAGTCTTGTTGTCACAAGATTCACAAATAAAGAACTTTAGAAGAGAGCAGGTTTTTAGAATCACGAAATCAGATGGAGAAAACCATGCAAATCAGATTGAGAATGTGGGACTGGATTTGACTAATCCAAGGAAAGCCACTATCCAACACCACAAACCAGAACCCAATCCAGAACCCACAGGACAAGAGAAAGAGAGGACATCTAACAACTATAATTGTGAAGTTTTATGTGTTAAATAATTACTTTTGTTCATAAAAGCTTTTCTAAACAAAATTGCAATTATTACCTGAAATTATTACACAAATTTTGAATATTTGGTGAATAAAACGCATACTTTGAAGCCAAAAAGCCTTAATTTGTTTTCATTAAATGCTGAAAAAGAAATAGGGGGTGGGGATTTAAAATATATCAAAACTTTCTTATATGTACACTAACCCCTACTTTTTATGATACTATTAAAAGGAACCAAAATACCTAAAGAAACTGTGCAACAATTTTCTCAAAAAGTTTAATAGTAGAAATATGTTTTTCTCTGGTTTTTTGAGCAATTTCATGGGGAAAAAATTGCCTAATTTGGACACCGGTGTACGACATTTTTGGGTACAAGTTATCTAATTGGTGTTTATTTGCTCATATTTTGTTTAAAAAAATAACTTTGTAATACTTTCAAGTAAATCTAAGCCAAATTAGGTTGAAATTGATTTTATTTATAAGTTTATGAGGTATTTTTATGGTCTAATAGCTATTTTAATGAAATTTCCCATGCTCTATTTTGGCCTATGTTGGAGGGGTTGTATCTCTCTTAGATGAACACTAACATACAATTTTCTTTTCTTGAAATTATTCCTTGGATATTACACTTTCAGAAAAATAAAAGCATGTGGAAAGTTTAATGCACGTTTTTTTCCGTGTATCAGAAGAATACATCCTTAATGGCAATATATTTCTGGAATAAGAGAAAACCTGAAGGCACCTTTCATTTACTATATATCTAGGCCTGAAATTGACAAACCCAGGACTATCTAGTGTAATGAAATTACAATGTATACAAATTCGCAATAATTTTAATGGTATGTAACCATTTTGAAAAAATGTTAAATTCGCAAAAAAATCTTTAGTTGCCAGCTAAATAGTGTAATATCTTGATGAAATGTGTCTAAGTCAAAGATGTACAATGTACGTGTTTTAGATCGTGTGATCGTGTGTACATTTTGTGATATCTATAATGTAATGATGTGCATTCCTTTTCACAATTATTTGTTACTTATTCATATTCTTGGTGTTTGATTATAATTTTTCTTTTAAATATGACCTTTTTTAAATCAAAGGTACAATTTCTGATAAATATTTAAACTGAAAGTAACCCCAAACAGTAATTTAATTATTAAATCCCGTGTAAGTGCAAAAAGGTCAAGAATATGAGTATCGGTAAATAGCCTATCTCTCATTAGTTAGAGGGGAAAAGTATATATTCTAATAACTTTTTGTAATCATTTGGGAATGTTCTTCATCGTATATAAGATTGAAAACATTGAAAACAAATGTAGGGTGCAAAATTGACTAAAAATAATAGAGTTCATTTGACTATTTTTTTTAATGGTGGACTTATCTTTTATGTCAATTGACTAAAAAAGAAGTTATTCTTGAGAAATATTGTTTAATATTGTTCAGTTAATAAAGTCTATAAACGACGAGGCTTGAAGAGGTATTCTTGTGATTTTTCACATTCCTTTTATGACAAGTACCACTAGAAATATTTGAAAATGTGAAGTTGCAATATGTAATTACCATACCAAGTTTCACAGCCTGTACTAGATTTAAAAACAAGGAAACTTATCATGTGTTTTAACTGATTGATAAGCAAGTAATAATTTATCATTTTGAAAATTTGAAAATCTTGGGACAAAAACTTTTCCGACATAGGCTCGACCTTAAAAGTAGTGAAAATTTTAGATCACAGTGAGAATTCATAACACATTAATTTATCTATTAATCCCAGATGCAATGAATAAAACAAATATTAACTTTAATAATATTTATTGTAAAACAATGCTTACATTCGGTGGCAAGTAATTGTCACGATCTATTTATACATAGATGTAAATACGTCGACGGAATCTAGTGAATCACTACCTGCCTACTGACCTGGCGCGATAGCGCCCCCACATATGACTGTGGTGGTAACAGACCTCTTGGTACAAACAAGAGTGAATGCCACAAGGAATGATTCAAGTTCTGCCTCAGGCCCAAACTCTATACCTGCCTCCCCTGTAATACAACAACAACATGGGAATATCACCCCCAGGGGTAGACCCCAAAAGCCTGCCCTTGACAAGGATCAAGCTGGTCCCTAAGGTACAGTCCCTGAAACGTTCTACTTTCCCACCTGAACGGTGAACGAACGCTGAAAGAACGGTGAACGAACGCAGAGCGAACGGTGAGTGAACGATGTGCGAACGCTGAACGCAACTTATTGAACGATGTGTGAACAGTGAACGGTGAGTGAACGCAGATCGCGAACGGAGCGCCAAGTGAACGCTGAACGAACGGTGAACGCAAAGTGAACGATTTATTCGGAATGCCTCCGATCTTTTCCTTGCATTGAAATTATTCTATTATTCTATAATTCTAATTTCAGGTGCTAAAATATAAATAAACAATAGATTAATAAATAAATAAATAGTAAAAACAATTTTTTTCTGCAGATACATATGTTTTTAAACCGATATTTTAATAACGTGATTTTCATTGCCGTAAAACATGTGTATTTGTTACCGAATGCGTGTAGTTTAAGTATAAAATTAATCTACTTATGTGGACTTTAGAAGATAAAAACTACTTCTTATGAAATGAATTCATAACATTGTACCCGGTTGAAACAATCATACATGTATTTCCGTGCCAAGACGATTCTGAGTAAAATAACGGATTTTTTTTTAAATTCACAATTGTCTGTTAACATATTGCATAAAAACACTCGCATTTTAAGTTCGAATGCAGAATATTCTATATTTATGTGTCATTTTCATTCTTTTATCCAATTATTATTAATAGATTAAAGATATGTATTCCGTATTATTCAGTATTTTTGCACAGCTGAAACCAAACAAAAATTTCTGAAGTATGATATGATAAAATGAACTTGTTGATGAAATATTTTTATTAACAAAGTACTGGTCGAAAAAAAAAAAACACGATATTCTAATCCATTTGATGAAGCATTCTTGCAAATTCGACGAAATATTATTCGGTATTAACAAAGTACTGGTCGAAAAAAAAAAACACGATATTCTAATGCATATTTGTGAAGGATTGACGTTTCTGCTGGATCTGTGCATATGCGCGGGAAAAGCATCTCGAGAATCGTCATGTCGAGGAAACTATTTTCTGTGACGTCTGTTCAGTGAGGAACCAACATGACTGACAAATCGACCAATCAGATCAATGAGTTGCATTTTATGCATTTATGTTCTACATAAAATACTTTATGTTCCTCTGTTATTATGCAAGACAGAAGCCAAGTCAACTGAGCTAGGTTTTTGATGGATTAAAATTAAAATAACAACAGTAGTGAAAGTGATAAATTGTCATTTATTGAAGTAAATGACGCAAAACAAAATATAAACATATTATAAGGGGCTCAGACAAGACTAGAACAAACTTTGAAAGAATACAAAAATCTTTGGTAACATATCATGCAATCTGACCCCCTAAAATTACATATATCATAAAGCAGGCACTGATATGCCTGTCATCAAAAAAGGGTGGGTAAAAAGAAAATAAACGCCAAACAAATAAATATGAACACTAATATAGGTACATATATAACAAATATAATATAAGACGGTGGAAGAGAGGGGGATGGATGGAGGGTTTTTCGATAAAAAAAATCCTTGTAAATTTGTGTGGCTTTCTCCTTTGGTAAAAAATAAAACAATGGTCACGTGATTAGGAGAAGCCACGCTGATTGGCTGTAAATTAAGACAATGGTGTCATAGATTAAAATTAGGTAATTGATCCCGATCTAAAAAGTTATAAACATGAAACAACTTTACAATTACCAAGTAAAACATGATACCTTAGAAATAAATTATAACAAATAAAACAATTATAGTAAATATAACTCTGTCACATAAAGGATATTATTATTGTAATAATAATAACTTATTTATGTTCCTCTGTTATTATGCAAGACCGAAGCCAAGTCAACTGAGCTAGGTTTTTGATGGATTAGAATTAAAATAACAACAGTAGTGAAAGTGAAAAATTGTCATTTATTGAAGTAAATGACGCAAAACAAAATATAAACATATTATAAGGGGGTCAGACAAGACTAGAACAAACTTTAAAAGAATACAAAAATCTTTGGTAACATATTATGCAATCTGACCCCCTAAAATTACATATATCATAAAGCAGGCACTGATATGCCTGTCATCAAAAAAGGGTGGGTAAAAAGAAAATAAACGCCACAATCCAATTGCAAATTGGATCCACCCACCCAAGGCGACTTGGCAAGGCGCAATTTATAATTTGAGACGATTGTTTATAGTACATATAACGTTCATGTCAAATAATAAATTAGAAAAGAAACACATGAGTATCAAAAATGACAATATAATACAACCTTAGGTAATAAACAATAGTTCAATATAAAATATTTGTTACTTAGTATTTGACATTGAGAGCATGTGGTGGCCAGCAAGGAAATTATATTCAATATGCCCTTTAAAAAATGACTATATCCTATGCCTATGACTATATACCTATGATGATATGTACAAATATAAAAAGACTGAAAAATATGTCAGCAGAAGACTTCTGAACTGACATGTTGAATAATAACTTTTAGGCAGCAGAAGACTTCTGAACTGACATGTTGAATAATAACTTTTAGGCAGCAGAAGACTTCTGAACTGCCGTGTATTCCTAAAAAATTATGAATAGGACTTGGGAATAAAATACAGCAGAAAACTTCTGAACTGTCTCCTATAATATGACTGATCCAAATATGAGCAGCGACAACTTTCCTCTGCTCTTCAAAGTCTATGTGGTTATTTGTGACAGCAGAATACTTCTGAACCGTCTTAAAGTTTTAAAACTTATTGACATGGGGAACTAACACAGGGATATGGACTGAAATCTGCTCTTGTACAATTAGCTATATATGAAAAGACTGAATACGGATGTAGTGTTTGAAAGCATCAGAATTCCACCTTCCAAGCTTCTGAATGACATTGTCTGAGAAACCAAGTGAGGCTGCATGTGTTGCTGCCCCAATTCTGAAACTGTGTCCCTTAAATTGATCTGGACTTAATCCAATAAACTGAATTGCTGCTTTGAGGTGTGAAGTAACAACCGAGTAAGTAATCGGCAAGCCATCCATGGTCTGGAACAGTGAACCGGATGAATGTTTATAGAAGGCAAGGTATTTATACAATGCCTGAACGGGACAGTAAAGAGAATTGGGACAAGCTTGTAAGGAAATGATTATTGGGACATGATGTTTGTTTGTTTTATAATCTCTCATAACTATTTGAACTCCCTCTAATAGATTATTTTCTTGCTTGAATGTGATATCTAACCTTTGTAAAACACTATTTACAGCATTGATTGATTTTGCTGTTATCTCACCTAATCTGAGAAAAGCATGAAAAGCTAACAAGAAAGGTGCTCGCAACAGGAGTCTGAGCGAGTATTGAGACACAGTGTGTTCTAGAGCAACAATGAGTTTTTGTAAGATCGGTGCTGTGATAGGCAAGCGTGTGTCCCTCCTTGAGCCTACTGCCTTACACCCTTTAAGAATTTTCTTGGTCATAAAAGCTTGAGTAGGGTCTGGGATACTACATAATTTATGCATAAAACTGATAGCTGATATGTGGGAAAAAATTGTACTGGGTGAATAATTTTGAAGAAATAGATGACCTATAAAGTTACAAACATCTGTCACAGACACTGGAAGTGAGATGTGAGGGTTCCATGTAAGGAGCAAATTCCAACTTCTGCGATAAGCTTTAGAGGTTGATGATGACAGAGACGATTCTAGTAGTTTCAGGCAAACTGGATTCAAATTGTTAAGAGGTCCTTGGGAACTTCTGTCTGTACTGGACTGAGATGAGGAGCTATCTGGAAGGCTTCCTTTAATTTAAAGCGTGAAAGATGATCAGCCAGAGTATTTGATTTGCCTGCAATATGTTTCGCTCTAAAGAGGATGTTGTAGGAAAGTGCTGTTAGAACTAATCTGCGGATCAACTTCATAAGAATTTTGTCTTTACAAGTTTGTTTATTAATGGCGTGTACTATGGCCATGTTGTCGGTCATGAATAGGATCTTTTTGTTAGCTAATGCAGGACCCCAAATTTCCAGTGCTAACACGATGGGAAACAGTTCTTTTATCGCTATCTGATATTGTGCTAAATCTGGAACTTCCTCCCAACTTAATGCAAACCAACTAGTCCCCAAAACTGCTGCAAAACCTAATGAGCCTGAAGCAGCAGTAAATAACATTTCTTTATCAGAAGACGACCAAACATCGGGAAGTATAACTGACCTGCCATTATAAGATTCTATAAAATGTGACCACATATGCAAGTCTGCCCTAGCCTCACATGTCAAGCGGATGTAATGATTAGGGTTAGAGACCCCACACGTTAAGTCAATGAGGCGCCGCAAAAAGGTTCGCCCTGGAACAACAACTAAACACGCAAAATTTAGCAAACCTATCAAAGATTGTAAGTCATGTAAAGTTATTTTCTTCCTACATATTGCGGCTTGTAAACTGTGTCTGACTTTGTTAAGCTTAGCTTCAGGTAAACGACATAACAATTTATTAGAGTCAATCTCAATTCCATATATGGTTATCACAGTGGTAGGAGTAACTGTTTTTTCTTCTTTGATTGGTATGCCCGATTGTTCACAAATAGACAAGAACTTCTCTAAATCAGCTTGACATTTAGAGGAACCCTTTGGACCGATAAAGAAAAAATCATCCAACATATGAGACATTCCAGAGGCAGAAAATTTTTCGCACATTACCCAATGCAAACTGCTACTAAGACATTCAAAGATCTGACACGAACTACTTGCACCCATTGGTAGACACTTATCATGGTAGAACTTCTTGTTCCAAGAAAATCCTAAGAGTTTGTAATCATCAGGATGAATTGGAGTTATGCGGAAGGCATCCTGAATGTCTGTCTTAGCCATTAATGCGCCGTGACCAAATTCTCTAAGTAGGTCTGTTACAACATCTTAAGAGTCATACTTCACTTTTGAATTTTCTTCAGGTATCATAGAATTTACAGAGTTATGTTTTGGGAAAGAGAGATCATGGATTACACGGAATTTACCAGGTTCTGATTTAGGTACAACACCTAAAGGAGAAGAAACAAACTGGGGAAATGGTGGAGAGGGGAAGGGCCCAGCTATTCACCCCGATTTTATACCACAATTAATAAATTCCTGAATAACAGAAGGATGTTCGAGTGCACTTCTATGATTCCTAGATATTGTTGAAACTGGCATGCCTTTGCAGCCTAAGTGAAAACCATAGGTGAATCCATTTTTGATAACTGAGAGTTTGTCTTTGTCATAGCCTTGCAGAATTTCAAGTAGATTTTTTATTTTGATTGGAGTTGGGAGCTTTTGGTTGGGAATTCTGCATGCTGGATTTAGTTGAATCTGTGCATTTAAACTTGGGGTGGTATCCTTTACATTGCATGCAGATGTGCCGAAAGGGGCAGGGGTTTTTACTACAACGTTCTCCTCTATTGTATTGGAAACGAAACCTAACTCGAAAGGGCTGTGTTTGATTGTTGGATTGTTTGACAGGGAAAGCTTTTGATAGTGTGGCTGCCTTCAGCCTTAACTCCTGAATAGGTTGTTGCCATGGTACATTAAAACTCTCTTTTAGTTTCTGCTCATCGTATGAGCGAAATGCATTGTCCCCATGAAGTTGTTGAATTTCTCTTACCATGTGCCCATATTTTAAAAGATTGGGGGCTTCAGCAGGGTATTTTTCTATGTAAACTGCCGAAAACACAAAGAATGCATCTGTCCATTGAGAGATAGATATGGGGCTTTTACATTTTGGACTTTGGTGTAATTTGATGACCCCCGTGGAAATTGAAACACTCAAAGGTTCTTCTCTGGTATTTTGCAGGGATCGGAAATCAATGAATTCATTATTCCAAATTTTTGACTTAAGTTTGCTAGAAACTGAAGACCCAAGGGGAATGCCATCACTAACGATAGTAGATGAGTAAGGAAGATCAGAAGCCCTTGCTGGCTCACCTGCAAAAACTTGATCTAACAGAGTCCCCAAAACTGGTGTTGAACTTGACACACTGCTTGTCGGCTGCTGAGCTGAAAGTTGCTGAGCTGAAGGTTGTTGAGATGAAGGACCTGGTACTGAAGATGATTGTGGATCTGCTGTAGATTTTGGTAATGTGTCAGATGAATGAGAAGTAGCTGCTGGCACTGAAGGGGCCTCTTGAGGTTGAAGACTTAGTCCATTGTGTGCATGTGATTGTTTTAGAATAGCTGTAGCTAACTTGTCATAGTCGATATTTAAGATTTCATTTTGCACAGGTGGTTCCACAGGTGGCAGTTGTAGTGTTACGGCTTCACTAACATCTGTGCCAGTGGGTTGGATTGTCTTCCGCCTTTTGGTGGTTGTGGGAGTGGAGGACTTCTGTCCCCTCTTTGGAGGCATGGCTGTACACCTGAACATAAAGCATAATGAAAGCAATTAAAGAATATTTCATGAAACAATTCTTAAATGTCCAAACTGCCCCAGCAGAACAACTTTATAAATTTTTATATACACATGTATATATCTATATATAGCATTAGATACATGTGACCATGTACACATTATAAATGTAAAAAGTAAAACAGCTTCAATGCTGCAAAATATTAATTTTGATAAATGAGAGGGTAAGGGATAAACATTATATAAATGTTATTATCATACCCAATAATATAAAAGCTGAAAATAGATCACCAAAGGAGAATTTAAAGCTAGTCTGACCCATTTTTAAGATATTATTTTTCGGCTAGTTTAACATAGTAGAAGATTACAAACTAATACAAAGACAAGAAGCTATACTTCATAGAAATATTTTAGGTGGATGTTGCGTGTGGTCCCGCAACAGTTGAATATGAATATATCCATTAACAGAAATATATTCAGTAAACAGTAATGTCTTATGTGGATGCTACACATGATTAAGACCAACATGAACAAATATTGAAATAGAGTGTGCTTGATCCTTCATATACGAAAAAGTGCATATGAAAATAAAATAGTTTATATCATATTACTATGTTGTTACGTATGGCCCCGCAACATTAAACAGCAACAAACAATTAATACATGTGCAGTCATAAAATGATAATGCGTATGGTCCCGCAACATCACCACAGAATCAACTGCGAATAGTGTACATGAAAACAGTTGTGTAACGTATATGGTCCCACAATACAACAACCAAATAAGCATGTCTTAGGTGGTATGGTCCCGCACCAAAGGAAAATGCATACAACAATACACTCGTACAAGATGAAGCGTATGGTCCCGCAACATCCAAAGTAAGCATTCCGTAATGTGTATGGTCCCACAATACAAAGAGAAGTTGCTTACAAAGTGTATATACAGGAGTAAATAAATGCCTACACCAATCAAGTTTATATATGAAGCTGAATTAAATTTACTCCAAAAACAAACTAACTGACTAATCATCATCATGTATCAGTTATATAAGGCACATACAGCAATAAAACTTAAAGTTTATGACATAAACAAATGCAATGCATGCACCCAATGACTTGTGACTAGTAAATCACCGAATATTGGGGTGAATTCTTAATCAACAGGACATATCAAGTAAATCACTGTTTGTACTTAGTTATAATATTTTGCTATGTATATGTAAAGCAATTGAAACCAAGGTCAGAGTAGCAAATTTAAGCAGAATGATACTGGCCTGAAATGTGCCTATGCTGTAAGATAGCTGAGCGAACACTTCGCCAAAACCGGTGCATAGGAGAGGTGGTCACAACATGGGATGACTGGGAGGGGCATCGGAGATGAACCCCATCCTGACACAGAAATGACAAATCTGTCCAGAAGCCTCTATGAGGCCAGAAATGCACACCCGAAATGTTTGAGCACTGTTCCCGGAGCATGACATTGATGGCGATGATGCGTTCGTTGAAGTCCGGTGACGAGGCCCAAGGTTGGCGGCGCAGAAGTTGACCCACAATAACTGTTTGTATGCATATTCCGGAATGTAGATACGATGCTAAAGATAGAAAGTCACGTACAATCATTTCATTGGTATGCAAAAGAATGTCGTTTTCCCCAATCTGCATAAAACACACGTGCGGCAACATATCAAAAGTCAAGAAGTCTCTGGAACGAGCGACGCTCGAGATCCGTAGACCACCACGGGCCCGCACTGAAACACTGTAAAAATCCTGATGCAACTTTAAGTTCATTAAATCTGGATGCGAGTCCATATATCGCCGTTAACGAGTTACAAACGAATGTCCAAGTAAACAAATCCTGGGGAAATTCGGCTCTTCCATGTTGTGACACAAGTTCTCCCCAAACCGGTTCAAACCGGATCGCGCACCTTACGTAAACAAACAAAGTCACTTATCGAAACGTATCAAAACTTTTATTCTGTGGAGAAATATCCAGCAAATCACACTGAAAACTAAGCACATCGAAGGTAGAAAGGTTTTACCCTACCTAAGTTGCGTGAAACAAACTGGAAATACTGTTTTTCGATAAAAAATTTCCTTGTAAATTTGTGTGGCTTTCTCCTATGGTAAAAAATAAAACAATGGTCACGTGATTAGGAGAAGCCACGCTGATTGGCTGTAAATTAAGACAATGGTGTCATAGATTAAAATTAGGTAAATGATCCCGATCTAAAAAGTTATAAACATGAAACAACTTTACAATTACCAAGTAAAACATGATACCTTAGAAATAAATTATAACAAATAAAACAATTATAGTTAATATAACTCTGTCACATAAAGGATATTATTATTGTAATAATAATAACTTATACTGTACATGTGTTTTTCGAAAAGGCTAGGTTTTTAAATCACTTTCAGAAAGACGTGATGCATTTTTCCAAGCATTTTACACGCTAAATGCATTATGTACAATATTACCTACTAATTTCATGCTCACATTTACATACAAATGATTAACAATTATAATAAATAGAGTTTTCCCAAATTCATTGTCAGGTCCGTTTGTTAATATTTTCTCCGTGCTGTACTGTCAGTGAAAACACAATTTCATGTGACTATTCCTGAATATTTGCAGTACTATTCATTATCTCAAACCTACATGTAGTTAAAATACGTGTTACTGTAGAAATATTTTTAATGTGTTCTTGTCCTGTAAAAAACTTGGATTAATTGTTATACATCCATTAATAATTTGTCCTCTTTAAAATTACAACAAATTGATGCCGTGCGTGAAGCATTTGTACATTTTTCTTTTAGTTAATATTTTAGCATAGTTCTACATACATGAAGGTACTTAAAGTATTATTTTCCAGGGAAATTTCATGAAATAAGTAACAGCTGAGTTATAATAATAGAAATAATAATAAATAAAATAAATATCATAGATAATTTTTGCAATGAAATAATTATTCTTCAAACACGATATCTAAGTTATTTAATTAAAAAACATGTAAATCCTTACCATCAAAATGATAAGTCCTTTCACGTCGGAGTTCCGAATGAGAATGAAGACTGAACGATAAGTGAACGGTGAACGCAAGTTGAACGTAAAGTAAACGGAACGAAAAGCGAACGGTGAACGTTTTGTGAAGGGTGAACGCGAGCGCACGGTGAACGGTGAACGCAACACTGTGAACGAAGAGCGAACGGTGAACGCACGCTAAACGAACGCTGAACGAACGGTGAGCGAACGGTGAGCGAACAGAAAAATGGGAAAGTAGAACGTGTCAGGGATTGTAACTTAATTTTGAGAAATGTCTCCAAAACATTAAAAAGGAAACCATTTCATTGTCAAAAAGAAATTTGGCCCCACTAAGGAAAGTTACAGTTATGTAATAAAAAGGCTATTCACCCAAAGCCACATAAAAAGTGAATAATGGAATTGGAAACACTAGCTTTTTCATAAACTCATCTGGAACAACAAAACAGAGAAAATCTCAAGAGAAAATGCAAATTTCGAAAGAGAATGGTGGTATTAAAATGACAAATATGGACTATTTTATTAAATCTCTACAAAATAACTTGGATCAAAATATTATTATTTATAAAATCTATTTGGATCCTACTGTTAACTGACATAACAAATTTAAAAGTGTGTACTTGGTCCATTTTGGACCAGAATATACGAAGTTAAAGCAAAGAACACACAAAATAGCTTTTGGAAAGAAGTATTGTGTGCATTTTCAGAATTCTTAAGTTTGGTAACATGTAATGTGAACCAGAGAGTTATTTTGTTGGATCCTCTCTAGTGTAACAATATAATTGGTTCTAAATAAGTACGTTTTTTCAAGACCATTGTATGAAAAGGCATTTATTGTAGTAAGTGATTTATTTGATAATAATAGTAATTTTTTTTTTGCTTTGATGATCTTGTCCAAAAATATTCGTTGGAGATCCCTTCAACTTTATACGAAGGTATAAAAAGAACAATTGTGCATTTTTGGTCTAATGTTAGAAATATAAGTCTAAAATCTATCAAAAGACCTTGTCTCTCAATATTTTGTAAATTCTCAACAAAGATACATAAAGGTTCTAAAGCAATTTATGATACATACTTGTCTGTCTTGTCTCTCTTTAAGATTCTTGGTAGAAATAAGTACTTGTTTTTGTCTAAAATAAGAGAAATTCAGCTTTGTTCTCCATGTCAGCAAGATGTTGAATCAATTACACATATTTTCTTTTATTGTCCCAACGTTAACCCAATTTTGTCTCTTTTAGAAGAATGGATAATTGAAAAAAAAACTGGAAAAATAATTTTAAAAATTGATGTGTGTTATACTTGGTTCATGAACAGAAGACACACCTATAAATCTTATATTGCTACTTATTAAACAAAACATATTTCAACAATCAAGAAAAATAAATAAAATGCTAGTATAACTATCCAAAGTATCATTAAATACTTATATGTGTAATACATGTATAAATTTGAAGAAAAACTGTATAAGTTTAACAATGAACTTCATGTGTTTAAAAGAGTATGGAATGACTGGAACCATATATTTGAAAACATTAACATCTAGATATACGAGGGTTGTCCAAAAAGTTCGTGGACAATGATGTTTTTGTTAAAATAAATGATTCTATATGCATCTAGTGTATATCAAAATATTTCTCATGAGAAAATAAGTCAGAATGATTTAATTTTTATTGATGGAACTTAATATTTTTGTAAGAATCGGGGTCTTTAAAGAAAGCAGATTGTGCGCACGGACCAGTCTGACGTTACGCTAATTTCATTATAACGTCAAACATTTGGATCTTGACTTACAATGTACTTGTATCACATGTTTAGTGACACACCCTACATTTCTTTTTTAAGGCGCAACGCACTTTGAAGTGCTAGCAATAATCTTTAAGTATAGATTATAATTTATTTAATTTTTAAAATTCAAAACAATGTACCCAAATGTACGAGCGTCACCTAAATTAACAGTGTGTATATCCAAACTGAACAGCCCAGTTCTACGCTGCGCTAGATTTAAAACAACGTCATGAATAGAAATCTCCATTTACAGTTAATTACATGTATTTAATATTATATCAGAGATTACATCATTTTAACCTTGGTCCGTGCGCACTATCCGCGACCTTTAAAAACCACGATATTTACAAAAATATAGCGTTCCATCAATAAAAACTAAATCATTCTGACATGTTTTTTCATAAAAAATATTTTGATATACAACAGATTTTTATAGAACCATTTTATTTCATAAAAACGTCATTGTCCACGAACTTTTTGGACAAACCTCGTAGTGTCATCTTTTTTTATCATATATGTGTATTAATATTTTTTTTTTGTTTTTTCATGACATTCCAAATTTGTACATTTTTAACTCTCCCAGCCATGGTATGTCTACTTATGTGTATGTATGTTTGTATTTAAAGTAAAAATAAAAATTATATGGAAAGACGTGAAGTATATATTGAAATTTGAGTGTAATATGAAGATAAGTCGGCGCGAGAGGAAACCCATCTGCTTCTTGAGAGAAAAAATGGTGAAGAAGGCAGCATTCTGTTAAATTACTAAGTGGAATTGGACAGGAGGGTGAGGTGCTCTTATAAAGTGCTGTTACTTACTTAATTTGACGTTACATGGAAGTCTTCCCAGGATATTACAACTATCCATTTTAAGAAAGCTCGTCTTAACTTATTGGTAAATAAAACGTGGTGTTTTCCAGTATTGTTGCACAATATTGTTCGAAAAGTTCGTAGACGTTGTCAATCTCCGTTATATTACTCACTAGAAATTTAAAATAAGCACAAAATAATTTGTAAAAATATTTGTTTTGTTGATGTGTTAAGTTTCATTCTATTCGATTTAACAGATATCAAATTAATTCATTGTAGAATCAACATGTTTTGCATCTGCAGAGTACACCTAACAGCAATGTAACGCCAAAACATAGCGTCAAGAATTTAAAAAATGCCATCCCTATACATTTCACACAGTATAATTCAATACCCACTCATTAAATCCTTTTCCTAATACTTTACATTTATTTTTGGAAGATTGCTCTCCTTGGATAATGAACTTAAGGTTTAATTTTTTTTATTACTATCTCTATTTGCACAGGATAGGCAACTCTAAAGCGCTTTTGTCTTTCCTTGACGTTCCACCTTTTTAGAATTTTTGGTCAATTTTTTACAGTTAAACCGTTTCTTCACAGATTGTTCTCATCCGATACAGAGTCTCTGTCACTCAAATACTGCCTGTACCATTTGTACACACATGTACAACTCGCTTGTGACATATTTTCTTAATTCCTCCAACCTTGTTTTAGAGTTTGTTTAGGTTTCTTCTGAGTAAAACACAAAATTGCATCTTTATCTGCTGATCCACGACGCTCTAAAACGTCATCATTTTTGTCGTTTTCAATGAGGGTTACCTATCTTCTCGAGTTGATTTCTTTTCAACAAACCAAAATATAAAACCATAATTTGGTATACGAATCGATGTAACAATTCTTCATTTGAATTTTTAGGTTGTTTTTCGTTTTTGCTCCATTTTACAGAGAATATGACTACATACATTATTCAGTGTATTATCTGTAACTTACTAAATTTTGACCTGCTCCACTACCCGATTTTTGAATTTTTTAAATCCGGATACGTTTTGAATTAATCTTAATATTTTGAAAAAAAAAATGAAAACAAATCATTTGTTTTTATTGTTAGAATATTTCTACCAAATTTGGATAACATATGACGTCAAATAAAATAGATATGATAGTTGTCCATGAACTTTTCGAACAACCCTCGTATATTTATTTATAAATATGCATATTGCTAATTTTGATCAAATCACTATAACGTTTTATAAAGGAACTCCACGAACTTTTTGATCAACACTCGTAAGTCGTGATTTTTTTTTTCATGTGCGTTAAGTTTATTCAAAATTTAACATACTTTTTTTTCTAAACATTTTCGAGCGCATTGCAATATTGCCGTTTAATTTGAAATAAATCAAATCTTTTTAAGCTAACGCATTTTGATGAAAGAGATTTTAGAAATTAAAAACCCAATTCACGTTTATCAAAAATATAGATGTCTCTGAATTAACTAATTTCGGGCATTAATAGTAAAA